TGCTTCCGAGGGCGGCCGCCTCCTCCGCGCAGGAGAACGCCGCCGAGGAACAGTGCGCCGTTCGCCCAAAATGGCACGCACACATCCATTCATCAGCGTCCCAGTGTCTCGGATTCCAGGACGGCAGAGGAGTGATACCGCCGAGAAGGCGCACGTTTCCCGGCGACGACACACCGATGGGATCACCACCGGTCGAATTTCCCCGTCCAGCATGCGGCTTTCAGCGCCACAGCAGTTACGGACCGACCCGCCACCGCACGGCATGCCACAGGCATCGGCCGGGCTTCGTGAAAACCGGCCAACGTGAACCATGCGAAGAGACGGGTCCGCGCCGGCTCCGCCGCACCTGCTCTGCAGCCACCCATGAAAAAAACATGGTGTGGATGCTTGGGAGGTGAGGAGGCCGTGCCTCACCAAGAAGCCGGCGTGGTTTCTCTTTGAGGTTGAGCGGCTCTGCCCCCAACAGCGCCCCTACGCGGCGAGAAGGCGCAAAAGCTCTCGCAGATGCGGTATAACGTCGACACTCGTGGCAGGTGCATCCCCTTTTCTATAAATGGCGAAAAGATAACCTGGCTCATTGAGTTGCTATTTTGCTGATTCTCGGCGAAAACCGACTGCCGAGGTCTCGCGTTAGCCCGGGGCGGGTGCGTAACGTGGTTGTGCTTCACGCCGTCCGCTGCAGCGCCATCTCCGGGGACCGCGGCTCTTCCTCCCATCCCCGCTCGGCGTGGCGGCGCTGCTCTGGGATGGTGGCCGGCCGGCGGGTCGTTGGATTTATGTGAGAAAGGACGAGGAGCAGAAAAAGAAAGGCGCTGGTTGCGGATCGTCGATCCACTGCGGCAGAGCGTGCGTGCTTGGGTGCGGAGGGGCCTGCGATGGCGGGAGGAGGAAGCGCGGCGCCCCCTATCCCTTGGCCAGGCATTCCCTCGCGCAACCCCGCCACGCAACACACCGAAAGAGACCGCACCGCGACGTCAGACTGTGAGAGACGGCAGCGTTGCGCCGCACGCCCTCCAAGCTGTGGTGTTTCATCCGTGTCGGGAATAAGACGGCTCTTACCTCGGAGTCATCGCTCGTCGCGGCGGCTGGTCGGGGCGACCGCATGTCTAAAACTAGCAGCCTCGGCCCACGCTGTCACACAGGAGGCGCCGTCAGGAAAAGGAAAGCGAGAAACGGGGAGTGGGAAGTGGGGCATCAGCATCGGGTACCCTGTAGACAGGTGTCGTCACGGATTGGACTCCGACAAGAGTGAAACTTATCAAGCATCATCGCCGCAGAAACACACACACACACACACACACACACGCACCAGCGCACGCATGTATGTGTTTATGCGTGCGTACGCGCGTTTCAAGGGCAAAGAGGGGAACCGCGTTGGCGTTGCGAATCAGCCAGGGATAACTTGATCGTGTGCTAAAATCACGGCGCAGCTCAGACTAGAGGTGTCGTGCGCACAGAAGCATCTGCATCATGTGTCTTGGTGGCATCAAGGAGCAGGGGTCAGCCAGGGATAACTGCATCAAGTGCTCACTCGTCACGTGTTGTTATCGGAAGAGGTGTCAGAGGCACACGGTTCGGCATCATGCTCCCCCGCCCAGTTAGCGCAGCAGAAGAAATAGAGAAAGAGAGAGAAAGGGGGATGCTTGAGCGGGCAGTTTCCTCCCATCTCCACTCGGCGTGGCATAAAGCAAATGAAGAAAGAGAGAGCGAGGAAAGGAAAGAGAGAGGGAAACAACGAATGGCAGTCGCGGCGCCCCCTATCCCTTGGCCAGGCATTCCCTCGCGCAACCCCGCCACGCAACACACCGAAAGAGACCGCACCGCGACGTCAGACTGTGAGAGACGGCAGCGTTGCGCCGCACGCCCTCCAAGCTGTGGTGTTTCATCCGTGTCGGGAATAAGACGGCTCTTACCTCGGAGTCATCGCTCGTCGCGGCGGCTGGTCGGGGCGACCGCATGTCTAAAACTAGCAGCCTCGGCCCACGCTGTCACACAGGAGGCGCCGTCAGGAAAAGGAAAGCGAGAAACGGGGAGTGGGAAGTGGGGCATCAGCATCGGGTACCCTGTAGACAGGTGTCGTCACGGATTGGACTCCGACAAGAGTGAAACTTATCAAGCATCATCGCCGCAGACACACACACACACACACACACACACACGCACCAGCGCACGCATGTATGTGTTTATGCGTGCGTACGCGCGTTTCAAGGGCAAAGA